GGAGCGGGATGGGGAACGGGAGCGGGGCTGGGAGCGGGACCGGGAGCGGTCGGGGAGCCCCCCCGCCGCCTCCACCCCGCAGCCGCGTCCCGCACCCGGCTCTCCGTTCTCCCCGCGGAGCTCCGCCGGAGCCCGGCCCGCATTCCTGGCATAACTCGACTCGACCGCAACCACCCTCCTCCTCCCCATCACCCCGCTCCAACGGGGAGGATGAAGCGGCGGCATCCCACCGTTCTCCCCGCGCTTCATCGGGCAGTGAAGGCGAAGGGCAAACCGGTGCCCACCGTCACCGCGCCGCCCGGAAGAAGAAGAAGGAGAGCGGTGGTTGGGAGAGCCCGGCGGATGGCGGCGATGGCGAGGCCGAAGGCTGCGGGAGGGTGGTCCCCCGTCATCCGTTGCCCGTGGTGGCCCGTGTCTCCAAGGTGAACATCCTGCCCTTCGGCAGCCCCGGTGGGTCACGGAGCAGCAGTCGTTATTCCAGCACGGAGACGCTGAAGGAAGAGGAACAGTTTGGGATCTGTTGGCCCAACCAAGGACGGACTCTCCAGGCGGGTTACGGCGTCTATCGATCACCCAGTTTCGGGACGAGCGATGGCCTGGCGTGGGGACAGCCGGTGGTCCGCGTCCGTCCCAAGCTGCCGCAGGGCACGGCCAAGGCAAAACCGGACTTTGGGAGCGAGAGCCTGCACCAGCCGGGGCTGGAAGGGGAGCGGGCCAAGCACCGCAAGTCCTTGTCCAACCCCGACATCGCCACCGAGACCCTGACGCTCCTCAGTTTCCTCAAATCGGACCTCTCAGAGCTGAAGGTGAAGAAGAAAGGGGTGAGGATTGGCCTTGACATGGGCTCTGACGGCTGCTCTGGCATCTCCAACTCCTCCCCTGGCAGCCGCGGTCCTGCTCAGCCCCCCAACCGCTGGGCGCCGGGCGAGCGGCCAACGCTCAAGGACCTGACGGCCACTTTGCGTCGCGCCAAGTCCTTCACCTGCTCCGAAAAACCAGGGACGCGGCGGCTTTTCCTACAGAGCACCATGAAGCAGAGCTCCTCCGAGCTCCTCCTGGCCACCGCTGACAGCCAGGACCAGGTGGCTTCCGATGGGGGACAGCGGAGGGACGAGGATGCTCTCCCCGTGGTCATCCAGGACCAGTATATCCAGGAGGCGAGGCAGGTCTTTGAGAAGATCAGCAGGATGGGTTCCCAGCAGGACTATGGCTTCACGGCCAAGCAGAAGGACAGTGGAGGTGTGGAGGGCGCCGAGGTGGTGGCACCGACAGGGACGACAGATGCGACCCTTCGGGGACAGGTGGAGAGCACGCGGTGTTTGAAGGAAGCGGAGTCGGAAGAGAACCTCGCTCGCAGGAAATCCGTGGAGGAGCTGTCGGGTCACGAGTCGAGCGTGACGGACGAGGGCATCGTCACGGAGCCAGAGCCCGCGGGGATGCCCTTCCAAGACCTGCGTGAAGCTGTGGATGCCTGGACACTGCCCAATGCCGGGCCAGCAGCTGGTGACACCGAAACGCCACTGCCCGCTCACCCGGCAGCAGCGGTTGAAGACCTTCCAGCT